TGTGCATGTCGTACTAAGCAAGGTATAAAAACAGTTGCTTTATGAGGAATTAGTTCGTACCATTGAATATTTGATGCAATAGACAAGGTGTCGCAGAAACCGATGTTGCTATAACCAAGTTTTACTGTAGATACAATATGAATTCATACTGAATAAATGATGCAACTCATAAACTGACATAAAATATTCATGTATGCCTGAGGATGACCCAGGTAATGGTTGAAACATGTGATGAAATCATTAACAGCAAAATAAAGCAGATGCTGACAAGATAGTATCTATTTTGTCTATTTTCTGAACTCATTGTTGTGTAGACTGTCTCAAAATCATATCCTTTTAGTTTGATAAGTAAAGACACAAGTAATGCTGAGAAATATCTAACCTGTCTGCAACAGTGTTACATTGACTGACCGCAGTCCCAGCTTGACACCCACAGTTGCATGGATTTCCTCTTTTGTTCCTGCTTTGTATGACGTATGTGTGGTAACTTCACCGACTTCCCAGGCTTGCCCAAAGTTACTTGCTATTAACATAGTGAAAGAAACATTTAATCTTAATGTCTGTTATACTGATCTATTGAAAAGACAACAAACCACTAAACAAAAAATATATAACTTACTTATCAATACAACACCAATAATTAGACTCAAAGTCACTCGTATAAAAACAGCAGCTTGCTGTAAATAAATCAGAAAGAAACAAAATTTCAGAACAAGATCAATGATCACTCTTACTTGCTTCATGCAGCCAAGCACATATGCCATATTATGTGGCTCCTTTTCTCTACAGCAAGGTAAATTTTCACATTGAAGACAGATGCAAGAAGTAGAAGTCAATATGTAGATAGATAAGCAAATGCTGATATGGGATTAAGGACTCATTCTTGAATATATAAAACTAAATGTTATGACCGAGAAGTTGGGACCCCTGCTTTGTACTGTGGAAAATCCATTTCTCAGCAGACAGGCCATCTATTCTGAGTCAGTCTTTNATTCTGGCTTCCGCGCGTCTGCTCAGTCTTTCGTGTAGGTGTGTGTTTTTTTTTTTTGGGGGGGGGGGGGTCTCTCAGTTCCTCTAGGCATACATGTGCTAGAACAGTAGTCTCAGAAAGACCACACCTCTTTTCTTCCACACCCTTCCAAATTCATAATTTGTTCATTCTACCATTCTAACCAATGCAGGTGAAATAAACGTATGATGGTAAAAGATTTCAGACTGGAACACATACTGTCAAACCAACGCTCTCATAGATTGGAATTCTCTACTGAATATTGGAAACATATTTTAAAATACCAATTTACTTATATTCCTATAGAATAATCCAAGAACGAAAAAAAGACATCACAGTTTTAACTTCACAAATGTACACGATCTATTTAGAATTAGAAATAATCTATTTTCATGTATCAACAGTTACAACATCTAGAGTGGTTCTTCCTTAAATCAAATGTTATTACATTTCTGCCAGTCTACTCTGTTAAAAACCCACACACAATCCTTACATATGAAAGCCTAAGGCTTACTATTTGTTGCTATGTATGTTAGCGAGGAATTAAAAGAAGAAGCAGAAGATGGCAGCATTAAACAGGAATTAAAGGTATGCTGCAGTCATTATAGCAGTATGCACCTTTGTCAAAACATGTTCATAGCTTACCTCTAGATAGCAGAATTGTGTAGTGCATATTGTTATTCTATCAAGTTTAGTATCTCACAGTCTATGTAGCTGTCTTCCCAGAACATATTCCATAAGAACAAAAACTGTTTCCTCCACATTTTCTTGATGAAATGTAAACGCTAGCATTAAACGTTTGCCTTGTTATGTCCTACAAATTTTGACTGAAACACGTTAAGTTCAGTGAATATATGACATAAACAGAATACTTGATGCAGGCCTTTAAATCAGGTGTTAATGACTCAGTTTTGTATTTCACAATAAGTTTTGATAAGAGGCTCATGTAACAAATGTCATAAAAATCTAATAAAGGCTTTAGGGCTTCAAATTAACTGAAAATACCAAATTATAGCCTTCTTCACATTGTGTCCATATAGAGTGTGAAAACACAGTTACAATCAAGGAACCTCATTCATGGCACCAGAATACATCACAAAATCATAATATATAGATAGACAATAAAGTCTTTGATGTGATATAATTCAAATTATCTAGAAATAAAAGTAGTAAACAAAAATTAAAATTTGATTTGTTTCATTCTGGTCTGTCACGCTAACAATATTACAAATTATAAAACAATTTAATCCGGTGTGACTGTTGAAGCTTTTACTACTTCACTTCTTAGTGCCCTAACATGTTTCAGTCCCTCCAGACCATCATCAGAGGGAACATCAATACTTTTAGAAACCACTATTACATTGGGTGTTTTGATTTTTAAAATACATAAATATACAATATTTGTAAAATACACTTTATACAAAATCCAAATTTCTTACAACTACAGCAACTGTACTTGATGCAATAAAGTTTTTTTAAAAACTTTTTGTTATTTAAGTTAAAATTCTTTAACCAAATAGGTTCGTGTTCCTTGTCCTTTCGTTTTTTTTTTTGGCGCCGAACTTGTGCTGCCTGTCTTTCTTAAGAAGAATGCTACGAACAAACATAGGACAAAAACAAGACTTACCTTCCCAAGAAAGACAGGCGGCACAAATTTGGCCCCGTCAAGAAAAACAAAAGGACAAGGGACACGAACCCATTCGGTTAAAGAATTTTAGCTTAAATAATAATAAGTTTTTAAAAACTTTAATGCATCAAGGACAGTTGCTGTAGTCATAAGAAATTTGGATTTTGTATAAAGTGTATTTTGCAAATATTGTATATTTATGTATTTTAAAAATCAAAACACCCGATGTAATAGTGGTTTCTAAAGTACTGATGTTCCCTCTGATGATGGTCTGTAGGGACCGAAACATGTTAGGGTGCTAAGAAGTGAAGTAGTAAAAGCTTCAACAGTCACACTGGATTGAACTGTTTTATCATTTGTAAAAATTAAAATCATGAAGAAATCAAGAACAGTTTATGCTTTTGGAATACATAATACCATTCAGTTCAAAATCTTTTTCCTTCCCATACAAAATTTATGGAAACCAACCATCACTTTACTTGGTGTTTTATTGGCTATAAAACTCGTTCTTACACTTGAAGAGTGTTTGAGAATGGAGTGCTGAGAATATTTGGACATAAGAAAAAGACATAACAGGATGATTGACAAAACCACACAATAAGGAGCTTCTAATCCCCACAAATATTATTAGGGTGACCAAGTCAAGAAATATAAGGTGGGTAGGGCACATGGCACACATGGGAGATGAGAAACGCATAAGGATTTTGGCTGGTAAACCTGAAGACAAGAAACCGGCTGAGAGATCAAAATACAGACGGAAGGATGACATTAAAATTGCTCTTACTGAAATTTTGTGTAAGAGTGTGGTTTGGTTTCATCTGGATCAGGATAAGGTTCAATGGCATTCCCTTGTGAACATGGTAATGAGCTATGTAGAATTTCACATTCTCACAGAGGTGACCACAGGGAGACCACAGCTACTGGGACATAGTGCTATGTAGTCCAGTGAAAGTCAACCGACATTTCGAAGGAATATGTTGCCTCTTTCTTCAGAATTGAAGAATAAGCAAAGCAAGCTCTGCTTGCTGCTGCTCCATGTTGGTTTCTTGCTTGGCTTACTCTTCAACCCTGAAGATGGAGGCAACACAGTCCTCCTAAATGTTAGTTGGCTTTCACTGGCCACACAGTGTTATACCCCAGAAGATAGACCTCTTCATGATGATGAACCTCTGTTTCCATATAAGAGGGTTCTTGACAGGCTGAGTAGCTGATATTTTCAAGGATTTAGCAGTCAAGACAATATTCTCATAAAAAGGTTACATCCACGAACATACAACTGACCAATCTTCATTTTGTACATATTGTGGGAGAGGAACAAGGTTAGCTCAAATAATAATCAGGCTGACCTATATTCAGGAAGTGCTTAGATCAAATCCTGATTGTGGTATTTTGTGATTTTCTTCAGCAGTATGCATTCAAGGCATTGTGCTTAATTATATAATTATGTGCAAGTGACAACTTTACCTTTACCTACCAGGTGAATACCTAGAAAAAGAGCATGATCACAGTCTCTCTCAGTTCGTTGCACATAGTCATTTTCTCATATCATTTAATGCTAAATAATATCTGCAGTTAATACAGAACTATTAAATTACCAATAAATAATATCTGTGATATTTGCGAATTCAATCCTGGAGCCTGCAAAATCTGAATGACTTTTCATTCATATACCTTAAAAACATGAACTACTACTTTTGTTTCACTTGTTACAAACACTTATTTCAGCATCCCTTGCCATCTTCTAGTTACAAAAGATTTTGATAAACTGCACTAAAAAATTTCATAGTTGCAATACAAGGTAATTGATATTATCTTGAAGTTTGACTTAAAAGAGACATTATGGATTTTTAAGTATAACCAATGTACTTTTGACAACTCACATATTTTCCCCTGAAGCCTGGAATTATAATGTAAAAACACAGCATCAGCATCAAAAAAGCCAAGATGAATCCTGCTTCAAGAACATCTGCAGTAACTGCAGTTTTATTTGAAGGAAACTGTGTAGGAAAGCCCTCTTTACGGGCAAAATCAAAGAAGCCATTCATGATGATGTTGAATGTGTAGTCTACCTGCAGAGTAGCCATAATTGATATATAAATAAAAACACTGCTTCAGTATATTAATTTCAATATTACAAAAATATTCAGAGATATTGGGTTTTCGGACTTTATCCATCGTCCTGGTTTTAAGATAACCAAGAAAAACACAATGTTTCGGAAACTGGACCAGTGATTGAGGCTAGCTCTTTCTAAGGAACCCAACAGAATAGGTGTTTTCCCTCACCTGACGATGGAAACAGATCCAGTTTCCAAAACGTATTTTTTTCTTAGTTATCTTAAAACCAGGATGATGGATAAAGTCCGAAAACCTAATATCTCTGTGTGTTATACACCATCATCAGAATCCTATAGTAACTACTTACAAAAATATTGTTACATATCTGTAATTTGGTTTTAACCTGTTAGTATGAAGTAATGCGAAGATGAAGAGGAGAGATGGCTCTGAGAGGGCAAATGCAAAGCAAAGGATGGGATGTTAGAGAATCAGTGGTGATTCAGACACTACAGCATGAACCTCAAATCTCACATACAATCATTTTTACTAAATCATCACACAATAACAACAGTTATACATTGAGGACAATGCCTAAAATGTATGAACACCACATATATTCTTGCAATGCATGATTAATGTAATGAATGTAACAGAATATACAATGATTATAAATTAAATCTGTATAAATAAATATGAACTGTACAGTGTATTTTGTAATTATATAAAATTATATTTCTTGGCTACAAACATGTGGAAAAATAAAACTGATGAATTAATTCAATCACATAAAATAAAGAATGTTTCATTATGAACTATAAAAACATATCATTAATGACCAGTAATAAATTGCATAAATTATTTATGATTTTTCAAACAAAACACAGTTTCTTAATTGTAATATTAAGATCCATAATTCACTCTACAAATAATCGCCTTCACATATAAGCAGGCAATTTCTAAAGTACACCATTTCTGTTGTATTATATACCAGTTAATCCTGGCTTCTTAAGACTGAATGAGACACTGCAAAGTATACTGAACCACAACAAATATACACTCACCTATGAAAATGTCATGAATGTCGGATTATTCTCAAAACAAGAACTGAGTTCAGTGTAACTTCTCTCCCCCTTCCCAATTCACTGGTGATAATGATAAGAGTAAACTTCCAGGAAGGATGTGGAAAGGGGAGTGGGGAACACACTATCTGTATGAACACGCACGAATCTAAACTAATAAAGAATATGACATTCCTCGAAAGAAAAGTGTAAATACCTTAATACTAAATATTGACCCAAGATGAGGAAAACACAGTTAGTATTTCTGCTTATTTGTTCTCATGATATCAAAAGCTACACTCTGATAATCAACTATGGACATATACAAATTGTTTTAAAAGTCAGTGTAATACATTAAAAATAAAAAATCTTTGCAATCATGTCCAAGGAAAAAAGTTGCTGAACAAGGCAGCCCCAAAGATAATATATGAAAGATAATAATACTGAATTAATTTGGCTTCTCGACTTGGAGCTGGATCAGTTAAAATGAACACTTTCCATCTACTCTGAAGATTTTCTAAAGAATCAACTCCCTCTTCAAATGCATTTCCTTGTTTGTGAGATGATATTCTGCAAAGACGACTAGCAAAGTGTACAGTATTTCTGCCAGCAACATTTTCTTCCTCCTCCTCCTCTATAAATACTGGCATTTTAATGAAATGATATGCTGTAAACCAATACAAGACTGGGCTTGCAGATGTAATTATTCGGGTTGTTACCTGAACATGAACACATAAAATACAGAATACAGTAAGAAATACCACGTGAACCACATACACAAACATCTGTGGTGCAAATTTTATTTTATTTTGCTTCATTTTAACTTTGAATTTTTCTTTTACTTTCGGATCGGTATAAAATTCATCTTCCCACAGCCCAAATGTATAACACAGGTGGGGATGCTGTTTTATGAATCTGTATGCATGAGTCAGTATTATCAAAATTATTGGCATGGCCAAGAGAAAATTTGGAATCTGTTTCCAGTGGTAATATCTGAGAAATCCCACATTCCAATAATGATCCTGAACATAAGAGTATGCAAGTGGAACACTGCTGTTACACCAATTATCTTTGTGATCTACTAGGTGCTTCCATGAAGTAGTTCCAGGAAGTCTCAAGCCATTGGTTTCTGCATAAGAAACAATGAAATCCGGTAGATTATGCTCACGAACAATGCAGAACTTGTAGTACCCATACCCTTGGAACATCAAAAATGGAGTGATTGAAACAATAATTTCACCAACAAAAGAAATAAGAAAAATAACTGGAGTAGTCAACAACAATGGTACTAATAAGACTGAGTCCAGGCGTCTGGCTTTTGTCACAATGTCGGGCATTACAAACTTAAAAAAATGTTTCATTTTCTCATGAACAATGAATCCAAGGTTTAGGATACCATTTGACCTTTGTACTGCTCCCAGTCCAAAGGGAAGACCACATCCCACAGAGAAATTTTTTGCACTTCCACTACCACACATCAGCATACCATAGAATGTTAGACAAGAAAAGAGAGTTTCTGAATATGGAGCTACAAAAAAAATGCTTGCAGGATTTACACAGAATAGTACAGCTGCTTTGTAAGCTAACTGCTCATGCTTAAGAACTTGTAAGCTCAGTCTGTATAAAACTGAAGCAGACAGTACAAAAGTTATAAAATTAACAACCACCGAGCTCAATATAAAAACAAAATAATGACTTATGAATCCTCCAAGTATATAATACAAACATCCAGCCAATAATCTTATACTCAATGGGTACAGGGGGAAGAAAGCAAGACAATTCTCATATGTATAACCATACAGTGCTATGTGAATGAAATACTGAGCATCCCAATTCACTAGACCCCCAAACAAATATTTCACAAAGACATCAAGTGATGATCGTTCTACATCATTGGGATCTCGAGGACTTCGGAATGCATCAGCATCATGATCAGGGATTATGAAATTGAAAACAGCTGACAAGAAAAGGATAAAGAACCGTGAGATTACAGCAAACCAGACAACTTTCTTGTGTGGTGTTAACATCACTGTATTATTAGACTTAATCTCTGAACTCTGACTCACATACAAAGGAGTTGGGTGTAACCACTCATGTGAATAGCTATTATCACTGTCTCTCTTGCTCCTGGTACTGCAAATACTTAAACTGTAATAAAAATACAAAAGAGTAAATGATAATGCAGTAATAAAGATATGATAAATGTAGTTTGTACAGAGTACTGAAGGAGCTTACTCACAGACTGTTACACAACACAGGATGAACAAATAAGGTGGGGGGAAGAAAAGGAGAAACAGGATGTAGACTGTAAAAGATATGACAACAGTATGATACAGGCTTGGTTCGATATAGTGATTGGTCAGGAAGAGGCAATGAAAACCATATCCTTCCTTGTTGACTTCATAGGAATACTTTTACTCAGAGCACAATGGCACACAGAACACAGGGTCCATTGCAGCAATTACGCACGTACTGCTCCCATCTCACCAAAGCTAATAAACTTGGTTCCTATTGATTTCAATGTAGCTGCAGTGTCAGAAGACTTCCAACTATCTGCTCAGTTTTCTTCTCATGCTTGCCAATCAGTGTAAGTATAGCATCTTCTTTCAAAAACATCTGAAAACAAATACCACACAATTACCAAACTGCATAACTATTTTGGTGAATTGTCTTGGAATTAAAATATATTTCATTTTAATTCAAGTGTGTATAGCACAAAATAAGTAACATACATGCTTCTTCAAGTGTAATAAACAAAATGTTTAATAAAATTAATTTTAATTTATGAACAATTAAGAGTAAGATTTGAGATTTTCACAGTGGCAAAATTATAGTTTATTCTTCTGGGTAATTAAAAAGTGTGACCTCACAGACAGTAATCAACATTTTGGTAGAACCTGCTGCCTCCATCTTCAGGGTAGAAAACTACGAGACTACAGTATGTCATAACCCCTCCCCAAGTTTAAATTTAAGATTAAAACTATGTGAGGCCATGTGATGGACAAGTACAGTTTTATTCGTGACTGAGGAAGCAATTCTTTCACTGTGCACTTAAAAATAAGAGGGCTTTCTTCTTCAGGACAAAGTGGCGTGCTGTGTTGTTTTCACACCACGCCATGAACAAACACAGGACGATACCAAGAATCTCCTTCTCAAGATAGACAGGCAGCACAAGTTCAGCCCCCACCAAGAAAGACAATAAGAGAAGGGATATGAACCTACTTGGTTTATAAATTTTAACTTAAACAACAAATTTTTAAAAACTTTAATATACCAGGAAAGCTGCTGTGGTTGTGGAAAAGTTGGATTTTGTGTATATTGTGCATTGCAGGCATTGTGTGTGTATGTATTTTAGCACTCAGAACACCCATTGTGATAGTAGTTTCCAAAAAAGTATCGATGTTCCCTCTGATGATGGTCCATAAGGACCGAAACATGTAAGGGTGCTAAGTTTTCAAGTAGTAAAAACTTTAATAGTCACACTGGATGGAGTTGTTTTGTCTTTGCAAGTGACATATAGTTTGGCACAGGTTAGATTCAATATACATTACAACATTTTGGATTTGCTACTCTCTTATTTGGCTTCTGATGAAGAGATTAAAGTATGGGCAAAAACCTTTCAAAGACTTTCTCAGGGGAAGATTTTAAATTCATTAAATGAAATTTAAGTACTTACACATATTTCAAAGTACACCATAAAATGTTCACAGATGGCACTGAAAAGAAATTTAATGGGCCAGCTGCTCCTACATGTAACTATGGGGTTTGCCCTTCTTTATACAAAGGACCTAGAAGTAAAAGCACAATCTGAGCTTCCCACACCTTCACAACAGCCTCCTTCCTCGGACATGACTACAGCCAGTACAATGACAACACCGTCACCACCAACAACACAGTCACCACAACCATCTTTTGGTAAGTTCATCTCATTTAGTAGCATTTGTCACAGTGATATTACACTAAAAGTAAGGACAACTGTTTCATTTGAATTTCCATATTCATAGTGCAACATTCATATTGATATCAGATCATTTTGTTGAAGTTTCATAAAAATTATCCAACCTCAGTCATTACTTTCTCCATATTTATATATATTTTGATGTTTTCACAAGATCTGTACTTAGTGTATAGACACTTTTGGATGATTTGTGTACATCACCCGATGATGACTATTAACAGCCAAAATGTTATGCATAGTCAGAGCTACAATACAAGAAGGTTTTTAACATAAGTCTGTGTGATACTTACTCCTAAAATTTAAAAATTATTTAATTTGGAAATTTCAAATGGAATAATGGAAATGACAGTTATAGGTATTTTTTCAATAAAATCAAAACTATTATTAGATAATCAGACAAACAAACAAATACAAAAACATACACTTTACTTGCAGTTTTCTGAGTTGTTTCACAGTCTCTAAATGCACTGTTTCCATGAATATTTACATATTTACAAAAGCAATTTTTTCATTTATTGAAAATACTGTGCTGGCATGCAAATATACACTTGTTCTCATATTTTACCAAATTAATTCTATGTTTGTATTTCTTCTTAAATAAATCAACAACTTTATAAAATCTGTAGTACATTTTCTTTTTTCTAACGCATTCCATATCATTTGCTTTGTCTCTTAAAAATATTCTCCTTTTATTCAGTAAAGTCTGATTGCTTTCCAGTATCAGGTTAAAATCTGTAATACATCTGTAAGTAAAGTAAAAGTGAAAGTATCACTGTAACAGGCCATGGAGGACCATAGGGTTGTGAGATGATGAGGCTCCCACATGTTCTAGACAATCAGCCCATAGATGGCAGCAAGGCTGTCAGCCTTACTAGCCAGCCGCCCTTTACCCCCCAAGAATATTCCAAGAATATTCCTGGTACTCATTTCTGTTAGAGGCTGAGTCAACCCCAGGGCCATAGTGTGGCTGGAAAGATTAGGTCAATTGAAAAAAATTCAATGACCTCATCAGGACTTGAACCTGTGACCTACCAGCTTGTAGCATAGTGCCTCAACCAACTGCACTACATTTGCAGCTTCAGAAAATTTAAGGCAAACACTTCAATAGTAAAGGTGGTTGCAGGAGTCTCTGAAAGAATATAAGATGTCAAAGTCTAGAATTTAACAAATAAAAAATAAACGAAATGAACTGATGTGACCAATGTCAGATATGGATCTAGGAGAGCTTCCATATTACAAAAAGAAAATTAATAAATAAATAAAAGGAGGGTATCCAACTATAACTAATGATTTGGAAACAAAGGAAACAAATCAGAGATCTGTATAGAGGTATAAATAAATTTAAGAGGTAACAATGCAGAATTAACACACTAAAGTCTGAGAATGGTTATTGCAAATTTCCACAGTATCTTAATAGGTGTAAAAATTACTCTGACCAACAGATTAATGTACAGTATATGAGGTTAATGACATGATGGGTTGTAATGCTCACTGCTATCACTGTTACCTGAAATTTCTACTGAAAAATTCACAAGGCACTGATCAGACCCAGAAGAACCGATTCATGGAGGAGGTAAAATATTATATTCACAGATAAAGTTACTCATTCTATTCTAAACACAAAATAATTGCCATAGCAGCAGAAGCAATTTATGATTGATCTTACTTACAAAGATGGTGCTAAAACTAAATGTAGAAATTACTGATGAATATTACAATTGTTGACATCATTAACAATTTTACATAACTTTCTTCTGAAAAAATGAGTTACGCGTGTAAATGATAAAAGCAAACTAAATCCATTTCCATGTATTTTATCTTCCCTGTTTAAAAACCCAGAGACTAAATACAAAAGTNGGTGTGAAGCTTGGTCTCACACTGTAAGGAAGATCCTGATTTCAGCTTGATTCTGTCTACCGCTATTCCACCACAGTCCACTACACTGTCCTATTCCTGCAGCTTGCACTGAACCAACTTGTGAATCACAGCACTTCTGGCTTTATGACTAGCTCTCCACACCAGCTGCACAGGTCTTCTCAACTGGGCAGTCTCAATCAGAATGATCATACTAGGCTTTCAGCACTGTGTGATATCTGCAATCATTCTAGAAGCCTATCATGGGTTCTCATCAAACTTTGAACTTAGAGGCATGTGTATACACTCCAAACCTCAGTGCTTACATGACTATATTAAAATGAACATTACAGAACTGAGGTGGATAAGTGTGGACTGTGTTCAACTGGTGAATGATAGGGTTTACATGAAGGGCTTAGTGTATGTAAGTAATCAACCTCTGGGTTACATATGAGCAGGGACTGTCCACAAGTTAGATGCTTTGGTAATTATTTTCAGTTTTTAGCCTGATATGCCCATTTTCATTTAGTTGGTTAGGAACATGTAATCACTGCAATCTAACTTGATTTTTTTATTTTATTAACATATATATCCTTCCAGAGAGTATTCTGTGAAGGTTTACATATCCTATACCAATAAGTCTAAGTTCTGCACTTATTCTGATGAATAATACAAAATGTCAGAAGTATTCAGATTTAATCTACTTTGATAATTTCTTTCTGTATATATTGAGTAAACTCAGTACCATAATTTCTTTTACATACCAAATTCCATCATTATTTCCTTATACATTTTGGAACATCCGCATTAAAATCTTATCTAAAATTTGATGGTCACAGCAACATTTTCTGTATCTAAATGCAGATACCGAAAATGACTGATTAAGAACAGCTCTCCTAGTCTCTCTACAACTATGGTTTAAATTCCTGGTCTACACTTCATGCCTTATAATGCCCATACAGATAAACCCACAAAGATGCAATGGGCAAAAGCTGGCAATAAGATCAAATTACTTGAATGGCTAATTGAAGGGTGCTGGAGTGAAAACAATCAGCCATGTCCAGAAGCTAAGGAGCCTGAAGAAGTTGAGTATGAAGGCTATGATGGATTTTACAACAACCTTGCACGGCCTGACTTAGGAGCTGTAGGTATGTAAGCTGCTGCTGCTGCTGTTATATTTGTTGTTGCTGTTGTTGTTCTGATGAAACTTTACTATACACACATTTCTAGTTTTTCAACATGACATTTCATAAATAAAGCCATATTTCGTTTTGAATAGTCAGATGTGAATGATTCTCATTAAAACTAAGAAGGAAAGAAAGCTAAATTGATAAACTGCAAGCCACCCACATACTGTGACAGTACTTAACAGGATAAAAGAATATGGTCTCAGAAACAAGCCATACTACATGATTATATCCAGACAGAAAGACAATACTTATTTCTTAGGTAAGTTTAAAACTTCATGCAACCTCTTGTCCATCTATCATCAACATGCAAAGCCTATGCTACATGACCAACTTTAATGAAACCTGATATGATAGATCTAGAACACAACTTGTTGAGCCATTTGGATTCAGGCTTCATTTTATCATTTTAAGCCCCTAAAGAACTTTCATGTTCACCTTCTGAGCCATTTGGCAAACTTTACTATATGACTATTACCATGTGTATAAAAATTGATACATACCAATTTATTTAGCAAGATCAACAATTACACAGTGCTGAATTTCCTTCCCCCCAGTTAAAAATTTTAGTACATTATTACATCAATTCCTAGCATATACCTCATAAATGTTATTCACCATTTTGCAGTACTTGGTAAACTTAACTGAAAATGGTTCATAATTCAATAAGGTAGTAATTCAATTACAAAGTTTACTATTTAATACATACAACCTTATGACAAATGGAACAGCTTAAATTTGTACTGGCTGAACCAAACAATTTATTACTACATGTATTACACCAGTACAGGTTGTGTTGATGGTTATCTCAATACCCAGTTAATATTTTAATCTGTTTTAAGATCAATATTACTTAAAAGTCTAAATACATTTATATGCATACCTTGCTAAGCATTAACCAAGACAAAAGTCTTACATAAAAATTATAGACATCCATAAACACATGCTATATCTTATATAATATTTGCATAAACCTTATTTATTTGGAGAAAATCAATAATACAGAAACATAAACCATTAAGTTTTGTCTCACTACAATCACCTTGTCTTGTAGCTGTTGCCTATTCCATTTACAACACATTATATACAAAACTGTATATTGTCTAAAACATGAGGGTATATAACACCTTAAGAAGGCAACCTTATGGAAATTTCCTCTAATTCTCTGGTATAGTAATTCTGGTTTCCAGTGGATGTCAAAAATAAGATATACTGACTTTATAATGATGATGCAATGATCTATGCCATTATCTGATGATGAAGATAATGATGCACTCTCAAAAATATTTTAGACATTTTAGTAAAGACATGTAAGCAAAACACTTCTAATGTCATCTTAGACATATAATCAAACATTTCTAGTATATATTTCATGAATGAAATAGTTCATTATGATGAGTGAATAAGATATGAAATATGTTACCACACGATCTCAAATTTAAAAGGCACAAGGTGAGCATTTATGCGAAAAGTAGCAATGGTATTTGCAGATACTCCTCTACTACGGCGCTGGCCAGCAGCATACAAGGATGGTGTGTATGAACCTTCAGGCCATGACCGACCTAACCCACTGGATCTCAGTGAACAGCTACTGAAAGGTGAAATTGGTACCATGTCAAAAACTGGAAAAACTGCATTACTTGTATTCTTTGGTAAGGTTTCACCAAATCTAACTCACTTTAAGTAAAATACGCTAACAAGAGTGTCCGAAGTACTGAAACCCAATAAAATGGGTGCACTTCAGTCAGCTAAAAAGTTCTAATGTTGGAAAACGTTTAAAATAATAAAGGTGTACTTTATCTGAATAATCATATTATTCTGAGCTTCTGTGCAATATGATTTTTTTTTTGCATGAAGTGCATAAAAAGAATGCATCCATCTATCAACATGTTTCTTCTCCAAAATTGCTTAAAGAATTTTGATAAAATTTGGAATTGGTGGTTGTGTGGGTCTACACTAAACATCAGACAAATATGAGCTTCAGTTTGTAAGGTTCCTACATAACTTTTGCATTAACATTTTACATTCTCCTGCATTAAGATTCACAACTTATATTTCAAAGGTTTTTTGTATGGCATATACAAGGGGAAAACAATATAAACAGGAGTTAGGCAACTGCTCATGTCCTGTTATGGACAGATAAAAAACAGGATTTTATTTAATGAATTTGAAGGAGATGCCGCGCACATGCTTGTACACACAAAACCTAAATACGTTGGCCACAACACTGCAAGTAAACAACAATCTCAAAAGCAGGGCAATGTCAGACCAACCAAGCACTTCTTTCGTATCAGATTCCTTCTGTACAGTATTCACATGCTATCTTATCTTAGACAAACATTTGAACTATATAAGAGGAACTTACAATTCAGTATCAATACTGAACAAGAGCAATGCTGATACTTCTGTGTAGTTTTTGCATTTAATCTCAGGTACACATGCTGACACCTCCCTTACCAATTTAAGCAAAATTATTTACCCAAGGAAGGCTTTTGATAAGGAAAAATTGTGTATTATGTGTGGGAATGCTTAGAGTATGTTTAATCTACATTTGCAATATATACATAAGAAGGAAGTTCCAGCCGATGGCTGACAAAAAATTATGCACCTAATCATGAAGACAAATTGGAGAGTGGATGTCAAGCTCCATACATTCTTAATATTGGCACTTCATGGAAGTTAGTGGTCAGGTTCATGCCTCAACCACTTCACCTTCAGCGAAACCCACTGCAGAAGAAGCAGAGTGGGCCCAGAGAGTGAGTGAGTGAGTGAGTGAGTGAGTGAGTGTGTGTGTGTGTGTGTGATGGGGGGGGGGGAAGAAAAATCTCTTACCCCGGCTAAGAATCGAACCATGATTCCTTAACCATCCAGCTTAGTAGCTACACTGATTGTGTTACCCTGGCTCCTGATGGCTGACGGTTCAGTATTTTATATCTTCTAAACAAAGCAATAATTGAAAATTAAAGAGTTTTCAGTGTAGTAAAAATGGTAAATAATACCAATTAAAGTTGTGAAATTTCACTTCACTGGAGGCTTCTGTTTCTGTTTTTCAGGTGTATAAATTTGAAATACTGTAGCAAATGAGTAATTCTCATTTTGCATGTGTACTGACACCAAATATGGTTAATTGGTTATGTCCCGCTTCACTTTTAAGTGTCTCGTTTTAGCTGATGTTTTAGGCACAATGTTCTTTCACCTATGTCAATGCTTAATGAATACAATGAAGAGTTAATAGAAGACAAAATCTTTGGTTTACAAATTGATAAACGTTGAAATTTGAAAAATGATACTGATCTACTGGTTCCTAAGTTAAATGGAGCATGTTACACCATCAGCAAGTCTGATACTTTAAAATCAATTTATCTTGCCTATTTACACTCTATAATGAAGCATGGAATTACTTTCTGGTGTAATTTATTTAAAAGAGAGAAAAAAAAAGACATTTACTTTACAGAAGAAGCCTGCTACAGTCATGGCTGGTGTCAAACATATAAATTCATGTAGAAGTCTATTTAAGAGATTTAGAGATCTCATCTCTTCTGTGTGAATACATATTTTCATTGCTGAACTTATCCAGCCATAAAGTGTTAACACAAGGACTAAGTACCATCTTCACAGACCAGCTGTCACTCTCTCACGTTTTCATCTATAATTTTGTCTTAAAAAGTCTTATGAATGGAAAGGGACAATTTAAAGTAGCACTAGAACAATAAATAAATACCTTCTCTTTCCATTCTGATGATGAATTCCTACTGTAAAAAGATGACTCATAATTTTTGTCCTTTTCATAAACAGTGCAAGTGAACAGTACTGATGTACTTCCATGGATCCATCTACAACATGTGAATACCTTATGTGAACCCTCTGTGTATTTTTATGTGGAATCCAGAATAGGTTCAATTGCATGGTACATATGTGTTTTGTGCTTTTATGACATATACCACATCCTATTGTACAACACTGCACATGATGGCCAATAGTGAGATTTTTTGACATCCTTATTTGATATTTTAAGATGCAGTTTCTGGCAGTACTAATCACATCATGCCTGATATAGCTCTTCTGTAAATAACAATTTCTGCTCACACTACCTATTTAAATTTCATGGACTTTTTGCAATAGCAATGACAATCCAACGAGGATTGTAAACATACAAGGAAGAGCTATGCTGGATACAACTCTCCTGCCTCCAGCAGAAGAATAAAATGCTGCTTAATGCTGTATAAAGGTTCAGATTTAAAATTCTTGTACTGTCAGTGAGCTCTGGGATTGAATGTAACATTACACCTCAAAAGAAAGATGAATGAGATGCAAAAATGACAAAAGCATTCACTGCAGGCAGAATTTCAATATTAAACAATGATATATGAAGCTAATGATCACATTCGATTTTTATACAAATTAAAACAAGAAGTCCCTGGAAGAATTTCAAGAGGAATTAACATTTTACATGATTAGCAATAGTACATGGATCACAATTAATATATAAAGCACCTGCTTATGATCACTAAGTCTACTCTGATGCCTAATGTCCTTCAAATGTTTTAATCTATATGTTGAGGCTATGAAGAAATTAATGACTACACTGTTCAGTGACCATTTTTGTACACAATATAGTCATATTTGGAACAGGAAAAATTTTGTCACTACAATGCAGATTTACCATAACCATATTTGTAACTGTTGACACGCAAACAATATTTAAAATGAAATTTGCAATTATTCTTATGATCTATCCCCACACCTAGTTTCATTGGTTCACAAGTTATTTACTTGCATGAAACAAACAGAAAAGTACAGAACTTACACAGCTGTGACACTGTTTTACATTCTTCATAAAAAGAACATGTTGAACATTTTCCCCAAGATCTGTTACCATACAAAATTTTAAAACTTTTCATTGTGGTGACAGTGTTACTCTGACCTCAGAAGTTCAAATGGGACATCGTGCTGGTATTATTAAAGATGAGAAATTAAAGTACAATGAAAATCCATTTACTGGTTCAGAAGTGTGGAGAAATGGGGTGGGGGCACAGGGGACAGAAACATGATATCTTTGTAAAATAAATTAAGGTAATGGCTTTTATATGAAACAGGCATGAATTATATTTAACAGTTCAAAAGAGAACATGTCACAATACCAACATTAATCTGTTCATAACCTCTGTTTTCATGAAGGTCAACAAGTAGTTGAGGAGATCTTAGATGCACAAAGACCTGCATGTCCTCCAGAATACTTCAACATCAAGATACCAGAAAGTCATCCATACTTCAGAAATAAACCACATCATTCTGAAATGCCACTGCTGAGAACACGCTATGATATGCGCACTGGGTTTTCACCAGGCAATCCTCGTCAACAGGTATAGAGAATGCTTCTCAGTAACACATTTTCTTTCTTAGTTTCGTGGCCAGACAAAATATGAGAGTAATTCTGAATCGTAGTTCAAATACCTGGGATAGCAAAATATTAAACTCAAATCTGGTAGCAAGTTCTATAACATATTTGCAATTTAATGCTTATTCAAATTCGATCAAGTACTAATAAAAATCTCATGAGTCATAATCAAGCATCACAGTATATTTCAACTTTTCCTGTGTTACTGTTCATGTCATGTGGGCAGTTCAGTTAAAAGGCAGCCTGTGAAGAGAAGGCTAGGAGAGTGGTGTGAAATGACCTCCAGCCTGGGACTGAGTTAGAGTTGTCAGTAGACAACCAAGAACCAAGAAAATGAATCAGGAATGCTAATTACTCTACCATGAGTTTGCCTCTAAAAAGTCTTCTGTTTATAAAACAGAATTGTATCATGTAGTACCATAGCTATGGAACTACTGCAAGAAGGAACATGTGCTGCTTGGTAATGGCTGGTAAACACATTCCTGTGGAAATGACATACAGTGTGTCACTAGGCAAACACCCAGGACAACAACAGAAGGATTGTTGGAGGCGGTGCTTTCTGTTAGATCTGGCCTGAGGCTACATAGTGAGGACCCCAGGCTGGCAGTGCAGTTCAGTTAAAAGGCAGCCTGTGAAGAGAAGGCTAGGAGGGTGGTGTGAAATGACCTTCAGTCTGGGACCAAGTTAGAGTTGTCAGTAGACAAGAGTTCTGCATGGGCAGCTGTGACAAGAGGACCTGGACATGTGAAGCTGAAGAATCTCCACTTAACACACTAGTTTGCGTGTCAGCAGGGCTGTAATTACTTGTAGTTCCAAGTGGTGTATCAAGTGGTCAATAAATCCATTCACCAATCCAGACCCTGACTGTAGCCACACACTCCATAAACGTGACAGTATTGTGGCCATGAATTTGGAAGTGAAGCTTTTTCACATTTCATTTTACTATCAGGATTACAAACTTTGTTGGAAGATTTACATTTATTTTTCTGCTTGATGGCGATAACTGATGATAACTGACAGATACACCTATAAATTTTGTATAAAACATTTTTTGTGAGTTAAAAATTTGAAAGCTGTGCATGTTGATGCTACTTAATTTCCACACCAGTAGATTACTAAGTTATAGTAATTCAGACACTTGTTTAAATCACGTTTTATAAAAAAGGTGAGCGGTTTTAGGTATCAGGATTACATTCATGAAGACACTTAGAGCAAATTACATTTTGGAAAGTGTATTACCATTCAATTTAGAACCTTCCTGGTCTGCTATGAAAAAATGTAAAGATTAATACATATAAAAATACAATTTCATCTGTTGTTTTGTTCATGGTCAACAATTTCCTCACAGCTGAATGAGATTACACCATGGCTTGATGGTGGTCTTATCTATGGAACAACCAAAGCCTGGTCTGATCACCTACGGATGTATGAAAATGGAACAATGGCTCCCCATGGTCTGCTGGCAGCTTCAAATGGTGGATTGTTTCCAGACTACAACAAAGTGAGACTTCCCATGGCCAACCCACCACCTCCATTCTATCACGGGGAGTTTATAAGGAAGCATGAAACCTTTAAGGTTGATAGATTTTTCAGTAAGTAATGTAATTCATTGTTCAGTACAAAAAGGCACTGACTAGAACATAATTGAAAAACGTATATACAAGTTTAACTTCATTCATTCTGGTCCATCACACTATTTAAATATAAAGTAAAAATTCTATAAGTATTATGGAATGATCTAATAACACCATCCAGTGTGACTCAAATGTATATTTACATGAATGCCTTTACATGTTTCGGTCAAGTTATGACCATATTGAGAAGGCACAACATGTTGAGGAAACTACGATCACATTGATCATAGTACATCAAAATGAATCAAAGATTTACATGAATATTTCAATTAAGAAAAAATATGGTCGAGTTAAAAATTATTAAAATTCTTAATATTTGAAATCTTAAACCACTAAGATTCATGTCTTCATGCCTCTTCTATCAATGGGAGACTCGGGTGATACTGCCATCCTTTGAGGTCTGGGCAGTGTTGTTTTCCTCTTTTTAAATAGTTGGTTAAGAATCTGTGTTGTTGAGCTGCTTCTCCTTTCGCTATGTGTTGAGATGACACATTTCTCTAGAACAATGGTTGACTTTCAACGGACTACACGGTGTCAGACCCCAGAAGATAAAACTCTTAGTCCATGTGTCTTATAAACCATTTACTTCAAATTACTTAAATTAATAACTTCACACTTGATATTCCAACCTGCCACAGTCTAAGTAGCAATGAAATCATGAAAGCACATCCATAAGCAATTAATGTCACAAGTTTTCCACGTATTCCAATCTTTGCTTTCCCAGTAGATATCACAAAATCTTCAGATTTTGCGTCTGTAGATAATTCATGTATACAATTTCACTTAATTATTGGGGATCATCAGTGTGGGTTTCGACATAACAGATCAACTACAGATCAGATCTTTTGCATTCGTCAGATATTGGAGAAAAATATGGGAGTACAATGAGACAGTACATCAGCTATTCATAGACTTCAAGAACGCCTATGATTCAGTTAGGAGGGAAGTATTGTACAATATTCTGATTGAGATACCCATGTACCTAGTTAGGTTGATTAAAATGTGTTTAAACGAAAGGTATAGTAAAGTCCGTGTAGGTAAACATTTGTCTCATAAATTTCCTATTTAGAATGGTCTAAAACAAGGAGATGCTTTATTGGTACTCCTTTTCAACTTAGCTTTAGAATATGCCATTAGGAAGGTAAAAGGAAACCAGGTGGGACTGAAATTAAACGGGACACATCAGATGTTGGCCTATGCCAACGATGTGAATCTACTGAGTGATAATGTAGATACCATAAAGAAAAGCACACAAACTTTAACTGACGCAAGTAAAGAGGTTGGTCTAGAAGTAAACACAGAGAAAACTAAGTATATGCTGCTGTTTCATCACCAAAATGTAGGGCAAAATCATGACATAAAGATAGGAAACAGATGTTTTGAAAATGTGGCACAGTTCAGATATTTGGCAACAACGATAACACATCAAAACCTGATTCAGGAGGAAATTAAGAGGAGACTGAACTTGGGTAATGCTTGCTACCATTCAGTCCAGAATCTTTTTTCTTCTCGTCTGCTGTCCAAAAATATAAAAATTAGAATATACAAAAATATAATTTTTCCTGTGTTTCTGTAAGGGTGTGAAACCTGGTCTCTGACATTAAGAGAGGAACACAGACTGAGGATTTTTGAGAACAGGGTGTTGAGGAGAACATTTGGACCAAAGAGAGATGAAGTGACAGGAGGTTCAAGAAAACTGCACAATGAGGAGCTTCATAACTTGTACTCTTCTCCAAGTATAATTAGAATGATCAAGTTAAGGAGGATGAGGTGGGCAGGAGATGTAGAAGAGATGGGGGAGACAAGGAATGCATATAGGATATAGGTGGGAAAGCCAGAAGAAAAGAGACCACTGGGAAGACCAAGGCACAGGTGAGCAGACAAAATCAAAATGAATCTTAGAGAGATAGGATGGGATGTTACGGATTGGACTGATCTGGCTCAGGATAGGGACCAGTGGAGGGCTCTTGTGAACACGGCAATGAACCTTCGGGTTCCATAAAATGCTGGGAAATTCATGAGTAGCTGCAGAATTGGCGGCTCCTCCAGAAGGGCTCAGCTCCATGAGTAAGTTAAGTATATAATTTCACTTTCAAAAATGAAACTGGGTCTTGATCATGCCCCACAGCTTTCAGAATGCCTTAATGAACTTCATAATTGTTATGTATTGTAGCGTGTAGACCCATTACTAGGCAGTGACTGTGAAACAAACGGGTTCCCATGGCAATAAAGTCACACACAACAAAGGAACGGCTGGAAATGGGGTCTTCTACACAGTCCGTGCTAGGGTGTTACCAATGGGACAAGATGGGAGTTAGTCAGCTGCAATGGAGTCTGTGAAGAGAAGACATGGAACACTATGTGTGCTACTGTTACAGCAGCCTGTACACTGTGTAAACCAGTGAGGCTGTTACAGTTACATGCAGTAGGAACACAGATGACTCCACCAGATATACACAGAGCTTTAGAAGCAGAGCTGACTATGTACTGAATGGTTTACATTGTAAAATTACATGCCATAAATTCATAAACTGGTCATAAACAACCCATGGCTGCTTCTATTGCCATACCACCAAAACCCATTTTTGTTATGGCACTGTATAATATTTCTTTTTCTCCACTTTTTTGTATAAGCCTTTGGTGACCCTGTAGGGCCCATCATATTTTCCTATATCCTCCCCAAGTATAAAGACAAATTCATCCACTCCACTTCCTCATCTAGTGCCATCTTTATGGTTTCATCAACCTGCATCTTCACATTCCTCATAATAACTGACAAAAACAAATTACACATGTGCAAAAATATCTTGTCTTTTGCAAATTACTGGTTAGTATGTGTGTAGGCACATTAATTTGCTATCCTCTTAGTCAGCATTTTAAGCTTCATTTACCATAAACATTAATTTTTCAAATAAATATTCATGAACATAATGAATACAAAGCAACACACATTTATTTTCACAGAACTGGGAAACCCTCGTGGTAATGAGAATCCATTCTTACTAACATTTGGTATTCTGTGGTTTCGCTGGCACAATCACCTAGCCAGCTATCTAAACAATGCACACCCTCAATGGAATGATGAAAAGGTCTACAATGAAGCAAGAAAATGGGTCATTGCTAGTCAGCAGCACATTGTGATAAATGAGTGGTTGCCAGAATGGCTAGGTAGAAAATTGGATACATATAAAGGTAAAGTAAGAAAGTATCTCAAAATAAAGCCAAAGTAAGAGATCTAAGTTTATGGCTAAACATATCTGGTTATGTTTCATTACAGGTTATGATCCAAGTACTGATCCGCAGATAGATCAGTTCTTTCAGGCAGCAGCTTTCAGGTTTGGACATACACTTGTACCACCAGGTAAGCTGTTCTAAAATCAACAACTTATTTAAAAGTTACTGCAAAAAATCAAGACAACATGCATAACTACAAAATCATAAATTTATATTAATTGTAGTTTTAGAAATAACATGATGTAACTACTTTTAGTATTACAGGGTTAAACTCTTGATTACTACAACAAAACTCTACCACTGCTGCCTCTTCTGGGGCAGTTTAATCGAGCTTGTCATCACAAGTTATTTCTCTAAGATCAATTTTCATATATTTCTCTATTTCTGCTTTGGTCTTCCATGTGGCATCTTTACAACTAATTTCTTAAACAGACAAATCTTATGAACTGTACTTCTTTTAACCCTCAAACACGTTGTGTGACTTTCCACTGTAACCCTGCAGATTTCATCATCCTAATTGTACTATAAGAAGGTGTAAATGTTGAGAGTAAGGCAAAAATGACAATTAAGAGCTAATTCAGTTAAACATGGCACAACATGAAGAAGCAGCCAGGGCATGATGTAACAGGATTTTTAGTGTTTATAGAATAAACTCAATAGTCTTACAAGAACACAAGATAGGCTTCAGTGGAAGGCTATTGTGAACAGAAAATTAACTTTCAGGTTTCGTAACAGGCAGAAAATTTCTTAACTAGCTGAATAACTATTTGCTTCTCAAGGACGTGTATAAAACTGTACAAATTGTATAAGGTTTGCCATTACTTTTACTACTAAAATTAACTGATTTATTATATTGTATGTGTTTATCAGTATTTTATACAAATATGTATGCTATTGGATGACAACTGTAATCCTTACTTGTGACTGTAACTAGGACGATCTCCACATCCGCATGAGAATGTACTCTTGACAGGATTTATGGAAGGTGACTAAATGAAATGAAAAGGACCTTTTCCATTAAGTTAATTATAGTTATATTACTCATTCTTCCTGCAACAATACATAACAAGATGTGTAGCACTGTTTTCATATGAGTTTACACTATTCAGGTATGTAAACACAATATCTAAAGCACTCATCTTGTCTTTCACCAGGCGTTTATTTGAGGGATTATGCTAAAAATGACTGTATGCTAGTAAAAAATGTCTCAAAGGAAAGCAGAAAGAAAGACTTAATTATCAATGGGACTGTCCGTACTTGTAACAGTTTCTGGAGACCTCAGGTAAGGACTGCTAGAGAACAGCAGTGTGCCTTGTTTAAAATATTATTTTGGACTTTTTTCCATCATCCCCATTTCTTACAACAACTAACTTTTTTTTAAATGGTTCTATTTCCACCTGCAGGTGAAAAGAATATTAAAGAAAATCCACTCTGTTGAGCTCCTAGATAGAGCTACTCTCACACCATGGACTGGTCCATGCTCTGTACCACATTGCTAACTAGTCATGAAAACAAGTTCATATCCATAATGCAGAGTACAGTTTACTTAATTTCAGGGATGTCTTATGAAGTAAAAAATGTATGAATTTAACAGGAATGGAAAGGCATCCTCCAAAGTGGGGTATATATGTTTCTGAAATGCATTCTGTTATTTCACATAACTCATTAGCAATATTATTCATTTACTGCTGTGAATGGGTTACAGGCTGAATGGCCAGAATTCAAACCCCAGCAGAAGCAAGAGAATTTTCTCTGCTTCACAGCATCTAGACTGACTCTGAGAGCCATGCAATGGTTACATGGTCTCTTTTCCCACAATGTGAAGCAGACCACTTCACCCCATCTTATGCCACAATCATAAATGAGGGGCTACACCTTCACTCCTCCACTGTCTTCATGGCGTGGTGTTTAAGTAATCAAGCACAAAGACAACTTCACCTTTACCTATATTTTATGTTACAAATTTTTCTGCATGAACAGCAACTACTGCACAAATTGATAAAAGTTGATCTGAGTGTCACAAAAAACTGGTTTTTATTTGACATATAGAACATACATATCTCTGGCCATGAGGTACTGATTTTTGTTAACATAAAAATATTCTATCATTTGTAGGATTTTATTGAGGCTACTACCACAGAAGGAAAATTCATTGACATTGATCGTGTACTGATGGGAATGGCATTCCAGTTATGTGAAGAAGAGGATCATAAAATAGTTGAAGATCTAAGAGGTAATTAAGTGTACAGTTTCAGCAATGAGGGTATCCTAACAAAATATAAAGTCCAATAGGTTAGAGCATATCCTTAGAATGGGATATACTTAATTTCAGTATGAGCCAGGGATTGGACATTCCAAGATTTTCCAGTTAAACACTGGATAGTATCTTCAAACAGGCAGGCAAGTATGGGTTGTATTTGCTGCTTGACTCTCTTACTCTTGAACCATGAAGATGGAGGCAGTACTTTCCGTTAAAACGCTGATAACTTCTAACAGACTATATGGTGTAATATCTAAGAAGACAGTATTCTTAATCTGCAGTATTCCTTTTACATTGGTAGTGGCGGACAGAGCCCTCCCTGGTCCCTATCCTGAACCGGATAAATCTAGTCCACATCACCCCATCCTATCTCTCCAAGATCCATTTTAATATTATCCACCCACATATGTTTCAGTCTTCCTAGTGGTCTCCTTTCTCCTGGCTTTCCCACCCATATTCTATATGCATTCCTCTTCTCCCCCATCTGTGCTACATGCCTTGCCCATTCCCATCCTCCTTGACTTGATTACTCTAATTATACTTGGTGAAGAGTACAAAGTTATGAAGCTCCTCATTATGCAGTTTTCTCCAACTTCCCATCACTTCATTTCTCTTCAATCCAAATATTCTCCTCAGCACCCTGTTCTCAAACACCATCAGTCTGTGTTCCTCCCTTAATGTCAGAGATCAAGTTTCATACCCATACAGAACAACAGGCAACATTATAGTTTTGTATATTCTAATGTTTCCATTTTTAGACAACAGATGAAAAGACTGGATGGTAACGAGCTTTACCCAAATTCAGTCCCCCTTTAATGAGATGGACAGGGCATGTAGCCAGCATGGGGAAGAGGACTGCATATAGGATTTTGGTGGGTAGGCCAGAAGGAAAGAGGCCACTAGGAAGACCTAGATGAAGGTGGGAGGATAACATTAAAAGGTATCTTACAGAGATAGGATGGGTGGTATGGACCAGACTAATCTAATTTAGGATAGGGGACAGTGAAGGGCTCTTGTGAACATGGTAATGAACCTCTGGGTTCCATAAAATGTTGGGAAATTCTTGAGTGACTGTTGTCTTCTCAAGAATGACTCAGCTCCACGGAGTTACTTCACTATACAAGTCTACAAATACTACCAGACTGTATAATGCAATAGCTGAAAATTGTTGATTTATGTTTTCATGAGCTTTATAATAAAATGATCTACCTTCTTGGAAAATTTCACACATACATAAACAGTAAACACGAATTTACTTTCTCTGTTCCTTTCAAGGACGAGTGTTTGGCCCACTAGAATTTTCACGACGAGATTTAATGGCAATCAATATTCAAAGGGGTCGTGATCATGGTCTTCCTGATTATAACACTGCTCGTCAAGTGTTTGGCTTGAAAAGAATAAATAAAGTGACGGACTTCAAATATGTGGATCGTAAGGTAAGTTATAAAACCTACAGCACATTACAGTGAAGTGCATGCAAATATGGAGAATTTATGTTTCTATAAAACTACTCAAACAGCTCATGGCAAACTCTAACTTAGTCTCATGGTGCATTACGTTTTGTACCACAATGACGAAATTAAGCTTTATAATACTACAAAAGAGACAAATTTTCTTAAGACTTTCTGAAATGGAAGAAATTTAAAACAATTTCGACATAAATTTAGATGCAACACAAAGGAATATGTATAAAACAATCAAAATTACAAATTATTCATGAATATATAATATAACTCAATTTTTTTCTTCAGATTCAAGGAGCATTTATGAAGTTACACAACAATACACTGGATAATGTCGATGTGTGGGTAGGTGGTATTTTAGAAACCAATAACGGTCCAGGAGAGCTTTTCACTAAAATAATTAAAGATCAGTTCACAAGAATACGTGATGGTGATCGCTTCTGGTACAAAAACATGAATAACAGGTATGCTGTTAACACAGTAAGTTATTTTCAATTTAAAATAATTGTCAGTTATAATACATAAACATAAAAAAACCTGAAGTGAGTGGCATTAAGTTATTAGTATTACTTCATGACAGATGGTCATGAAGTAAGTACGCAAAATATGTACCTTGAGGAATATCTCTCTTATAGCCATTGATGGTTTAAGAGAACCATGACCTTTTCTTCCGCGTACCCTTCATAAGTGACATATGAGGTTCTAACAGTGATCACTTAGAAGTTTACTGGCCTCTTCGATGTGACACCATGTAGTCTGGTAGATATTTACCAATGTTATAAAATGCAAATAATATCTACCACTCTTCAATCATGAAGATGGAGACTACATGTTTCTTCCAGATCTTGGTAAATATCTATCAAGACTGCATGGCATAACATCCTAGAAGACAGTAACCTCCAAGGAACAGCTTGCTAATAGTTTCTGTCACAACATTCCTTCCCAAATCATTACCAATTCATAACTTGTAATCATCCCACTGTTCCCCATTCAATATTATAATTACAGCAGGTGACAGAGTTATTAAATGGACTTGGGAAAAAAGTACATAACTTCATCTGCTTTCTTCGTAGTCTATCTAAACAACAAGAATAACTAGATACTACTCTAATACAGTGTTATTTTGCAGACTATTTACCAAAGAACAAGTTGGTCGTCTGGAACAGCTGTCAGTATATGATATAATACTGTCAGTAACTGAACTGAACTATGATGATATTCAAACCAACCCATTTGTAGCACCCTCTCAAGACAACGGCTGTAAGTACCGTTTCATACAGTGTTACTACAAATTTTGTGGAAGCAAATTCAATTTTATACTTTTCATACACTTATTAATTTCATGTTTGCAGTAAATGACTTGCATCCGAAGTGCAGAGAAGTATTGCTTAACAAAAACTGCACGAGACAAAATGACTCCCAGGATTTTCTCTGTCACTACCTTCCACAAATAAATGTGTCCAAGGTTGAAGAATGTACTGAACCAGAAACATATGATTATTTCTCCGGCAGCGAAGAGTCATTTATTTTCACATTTATTGGAAATGGACTACTCATTCTTGGTAAGAAATGAGGAACTAGAAACATTATTTACAAATTAGTGTACTTCTAACTGCATGTAAAATCATACATGAAACTCAATAACCCTGTACTTCTAAAAGTCCATACATTAAATAGTAAGTGAAGGCAAACCAACTCAATAGAGCAACATCTGTTTTGGGAAGCTGATGGTTAGTCAACTGCCAAGATATACCCAACTTTTATGGAACCCAAAGGTTCATTAACTGTTTTCACAAAAGACCATTGTTCAATCAAATTCTGAGCCAGATGAATCCAACCTATAGCCAATTTCTCTTAGATTAATTTCAATATAAGTTTCCATGTACACCTAAGATTTTTATGATTCTCTTCACTTTACAAGTTTTAACCATACTTTTGTCCATTTGTCACATCATTCCAGTGATCCTACATGCATGCTATCAGCTATCCTGATGATCCTATGTAATTTTTGCGTCCCTTCAATGAATGCCACAACTGTCTTTTCTCACATCCTTACCTGTCTACCAACCATTATCATTTTCCTATCTCATTTGATGCCATACAAGGTGTAACAGAATTGAGCAGAAAAAGCTTTTGGCACAAGTTTCACATACTAAAACGAGAAAAAAATGTCTTTATAAACCTGTGTCTGGGAACATTTAATTTGTGAGTTGTAGCAGGAAAAGTATGTCTATAATAAGCATTCAAAGGATCCTCCATGAGATTCAATGCATGCCTGGGCACTTCTCTTAATGTATCTCTGCATCCGTTCAAAGATGGAGTAGCTGCAGACAGTCTTGACAGGCATCGGCAATAGCACAATGAACTGCCGCTTCATTGTCAGGTGCCCCCACAGGCAAGAATCCAGAGGATTCAAATCTGGTGAGCATGGAGGCCATATAGTGGGTCCTGCATCTATCCATCCATCAGCCAAGGTAGGTGTTATTGAGAACATTTCATACACCATGGCTAAAATGTGCCACAGCATCATTACGTACATATGACATTCATGTTCAGTGGTACATCTTCCAGTCGCTTTGGCAGATCATGTAATAAGAAATCTTGGGGGTGGTTGTCTGTAAGCCATTGTGGCAAAACATGCAGGCCTACCAAACAATCACCAACAAGGATATTTTGAGTAAAGTAAAGTAAAAAGTAAAGCTATCCTTGTACCAAGGCTCATAGGGTTGTGAGACATTGAGGGTCCCACATTTTCCAGACAATCAGCTCAAACATGGGCAGTAAGGTTGTCAGCCTTACACGCTTTACTCCCCAGGAAAATTATTTAATTAATTTCTGGTACTCATTTCTGTTAGAGGGTGAGTTGACCCCAGGACCATAGTGCGGCTGGAAGGATCAGGTCAATTGAAAAAACCCAATGACCTCATCAGGATTTGAACCCACAACCTTCCGGTTTAGCATAGGGCCTCAACCAACTATGCTACTGCATGCCCCTGGGATATTTTGAGTACTTATCATAAATGTATGTGTACTCTTTCAGCTATAACTCACAAATTAAATGTTTCCAGACATATGCTAATACAGATATTTTTTCTTGCTTTTGTATGTAGAACTTGAGCCCAAAGTCTGTCTGCAAATTTCAGTTAAACTCTGTACAGTGTCACCACAATCTTAATTTTCGCCACAGTGAAAAACTCAATTCTCAAACAGTTTTAAAACTTTACTAAAAATACCAATGCACACATGTTTCAGGTTTTGTGGGTATACTTTTCAGTCTTGTTAGACATAAGAAAAAGGAACAGCGAGAAAGGATGTCCAGAACTGCTGAAATGGCACGGCAATCATTCCGCACAGAGAGACATCTCATTCGATACTCAGGTATATATTCTGTCCTTATGTAAGTATACACTAGACAAGACACTATGTATTGCAAAAGGCATTCTTCACATTGTGGCAATTCTTGACTTCATGAGATTTTTTCTGATGGAAGATGGTGACAGTTACACCTACAAATTATCTTTCATATACCTTTTCTAGAATGCTTAATATATCTATACTTCAAATTAAAAAGTGATTTACAGAAGTAAATGGGATTCTAAAGTCCTACATTTCATTCAAAGTGTAGGACTGATAAAGGGTTAACCAAAAAGGGGAAGTATAATAGATCACTGAAGGCCGTGGTGCAAGGGCCAGATTACTATGGCTCACCCCTTATGCATTCATTCATTCAAATGGGATTCTAATTTTTCACAACTCTTCCAAAGTGAGGCTGGCCAACATTTATTGGACAATTAACCAAAATCATAATTTCCAATGACATTAGCAGGCTTTCAAACTAATGTCTAGTTTCTCAGGATTCAGAACATGTTAGATATAAAGTATGTGAATATATTTACATGCAGTGTTTGAATGGGTGGACCAGAAGTCTCCATTGCGACCTGTGGTTGTGGTGATGAATCCAGATAACAAGCAACTGCAGGTGCGGAACCAAGTTGGTCATTTGCTACGAGCCATGGATCTCGCACATGGACAACTAATTGAGGTTTACATCATCAGTGATGGTAGACATCTCATGCTTCGTGTCAGGAATGATTATGATCTGGTAAAGCTAAATTTATGTGTGATATAATTTCCAACTGACATTTCTTTTTTCATAATATACTCTTCAAAATTATATTTAATATCATGATCTGTAATTCAGCATATGCCTCAATAAATATAGGTTTAAGTGGATACAAAATGGTCATACTGTTAAAACAGAACACTTGAGTTCTAGCTAATTTAAAGTTAGAGCAATTAAACTGAATCACATAACTTCCTGGTACTACAGAATACAAGGATTCATCTTTGTCAGACAAAATCCACTGCTGAACCATGCCTGATGACAGCACAATTTAATGCAGCGACTGTTGTCAGATAATTTAAGAATTGTCTTTCAGGCACCATCTACAGTGTGGATTTCAAACTTGAACCATGTTTATAATATGGCTACAGGTGACAATCCTGTGTACAAGTTCTTTATTTTAATCTGTTCCTAGTGCGTAACCTTCTGTGGGTTATGTGGCATGTAAACAATGCTGTGTCACACAGCAGCAAGTGCACTGCATGTCACCAATTGCAACGGACTTAAAACTGCAAATGTATACATTACCTAACATACAATTCAACATTATTGAACCATAAGCCTTCTCATGTTGCTTTCCACCATTTTTATTGAGGTGTTCAGGTATTTCAACCATTTAGTTAGGTTTGCAGGATAGAAATATGATTTTAAAGGGTGTACTCCATGAATGGATGGATGAAAGAATAATAAATGAGCCTTGACTGGTCCTTGCACTAAACAGTGATCTATTGTGCATCCCACCATTTCAACCCCTAAAAAATCCTACATTTTGAACAAAGTGTAATATCTTACTTAAAGGGACATCTTGGTAGTCACCTGGTTCCATAAAGTAGTGTTCCAGGAGACAATATATATAGTTATAGCTTCATGATCACTGACTCATCCTCTTCCTGGCAAATCTCACAAGTGGGATAATTAGTTAATCCCAATTTGAAAAGGTGCACTGTCACCCACTGTAACCAGTATCTGTTTAATTAGTATATGCCATAATGTAGTATATAAAATTCCCAACAGCATTTTGCTGTTTATTAAGATAACTGCGGCTTTTTATAAATGGCATTTCAGCAAAACCCCAGATATATTAGATAAAATGATAACAGTTCTTATTTTGACAGCATAATATGGCACACTAACATACATCTACAAAATCTGTGAAACAATTTATGGAACAGCCTATATGAAAAAATAAATTTATTGTCTTACTTAAAATAAGTTTCATAATCATTCAACATGCCTAAAAATCAAAACGCTTAGCTGGTATTTTTCAAAGACTAATGATTTATGACATACATGAAAGTCCTATTTACGGCATTATCTAAGTAGGCCTTGTTACATATCAATATGGCCAAAAATTGGAACTACCCAGTGTTTAGTGAATTTTATCAAAGTTTTATAGGAAAATGGAAAAGGCCAACTACAGACTTTTGTAAAGTTGGCTTCATAATCGATTCATATAACTAAAAATCAACATGGTCAATTAACATTATGCGAAGATCTCTCCTACAATTTAACCAAATTATTGTTCAATGGATTATAATAGAAATTTATTTACGACTCTATGTAATGCAGGTTTTTCCACAGATTGATATGACTGAAAAATGGAAATGCCTAACAAAGTTTTGTGGAAGTTTCTCAAGAAGAATTAAAAAGAAATGTCAATAAATTTACATGCTAATACTAGACCACATGCATACAAATATGACCCCCACAGGAGGGATTCTTTTGTAAAGAATGCCTAAAAATGCTGGGAAAGTCACTCTTATGCAATATAGATACTACCAAAAACACATATCATGATTAGCATAAAAGTTTTTTCAAACATTGGTTTCTTTCTATGAAGACTGTTTCCTACTTATTAAGACCCTATACTGTTCTCATGGCAGTGACTACGAAGAGTACTATCTTCTGGGACGTAACACCATGCAACCTAGTTGGAGTTCACTGATGTTCCAGAGGACCATACTGCCTCCAATTTCTGGGTTGAAGATTAGGCCAAGCAGGAAACTAGCAAAAAGCAAAGGTCCTTTAAAACATCGGTGGACTCCTACTGGAGTATTATAATAAAAGCCATTTATTTTCAGGTGCTGAAATTTGAAAGTGAATACCTTCGAGAGAATTTCCTTCAAGGTTTTGAACAATTTATTCAGCAAGTGGGTGTCACAAGACAACGCATAACTATGGCTCTACCCCCAGCTCTCCGCCAGGCTGTTACACGTAAAGACAGGCAGATGCGGCTTGAGATGTTCTTTAGGGTTGTGTTCTCTCAGGTAAACTTAAAATTCAAACTTAGTTCTTAGTACATGACTGAGGCAATACTTATTCAGATTTCAAAGACAAAAATATCTTGACTGCATTCACTTCCAATACAAAAAGTCTTGAACATTATCTTTCACATTACAAGGCCAAAAACCTTGGTTCTATTTAATTCCAACAGGAAACATCTTGGACACCACCATAATATGCAGCAGAAACTCCTCAAACTCAATTCTTTTTAAGTATTCTTTAGAGAACTGGCTTATCATTCTCCACATACACCATAAGCTTTCAACGTAAGCATAACATAACCACGTAACACATCAGTATTATATCCTTCACTGACCAGTAATGTTCTAGGAAGCAGCAAATATTTCATGTACTCTAGGTTATTGAGGAAAGTAAGTGTCCCTACATCCTAAACTATTCATTCGACCTACTTAGCCTGTGTGCATTCCATCAACATTATACAAAAATATGTCAGATCTCAGATATGTCCTATGTCATAGCTCTATGGTTTAATAAGCAGGGTTATTTTTCTTATACCTGCAATTACAATTTATTTTCAGGTATTCTATAGTCATACACATAATAAAATCATGTTCATCTGCTCTTCCATATTTCAAGATGCTCAATGCCTATAACCATTTGATTTAAACAAAATATTATGTGGAATATCACTGAGTTCACTGACTCAGTAATGCTTTCCACTTGTATTCAGAAAGTACCTGGTTCAAAACTCTGCAGGACAGTACTCTGGAATATGCCATGACTTCCTCCTTCCACATTTTTCCAATCATCATTCATTAATCATCTTACAATTGGACTCTATACAGTCTGAACTTGTGACAGCACTGATAAATAAATAAACCATACATACATGGAATATCAACATGAAAAGTAAAACATAAAAGTATAACACTGTCCTTGTGCTTAAGCACCATGCAGTGAACATGAATGAGGGTATAAGGTAAAACTGCACACTTACTTAACCTCAGCATTTCATGGTCAGAGGTCAGCTTCATGTTTCTTCCACTTTACCCCCAAGAANATCAACATGAAAAGTAAAACATAAAAGTATAACACTGTCCTTGTGCATAAGCACCATGCAGTGAACATGAATGAGGGTATAAAGGTAAAACTGCACACTTACTTAACCTCAGCATTTCATGATCAGAGGTCAGCTTCATGTTTCTTCCACTTTACCCCCAAGATAAGATGTAAAAGTAACTGACAGATTTTAGCGGCCTCCGTAGTCTAGGGGTAACATTCCCACCTCATGACTCAAGGCATGCGGGTTCAAACCCGGCGGAGGTCGTGGAATTTTTAAGGGCGGAAAAATTCAGGGAACAAGTCCTCCGGGAGGGACTTTAAGCTGTGGGTCCCGTGTCGTAGATTTACGGCACGTAAAAGAACCTCATGTCTCTAGGAGACCTCTGAGCTAAATTTGGCAAAAAATTTTCCCACCCAAAGTAGTTTCCAATGCCTCCGATAGATGGGGAAGTATTAGGTACCACTGCCAGAGGAGGGGGGACCTCTCTGACAGAAAGGGACTAACTATTAGATACCACTGCCAGTAGAAGGTTGGAACCTCGCTGGCAGAAAGGGGCTAATAGCGAGCACCAGTACCGGTAGGGTATGGAGACAGTAGAAATTAAAAGGGGGACGCACAATGGACCAATAACTGGTCTAAGTGCATGGGGAAACCCACCCCCTCTATATTCAATACTCAACTGACAGATTTAATTTTGATTCAGACTAGTATATTAGAACTTTACATGACAGATAATAACATGACTGATTCCTTTTTCTGACACACCAAGTTAGAAAATATGTAAATTTCCCAACAGTTGTTAACACTGTTCTACACTAACATACGCATCTTTCACCTGGCCAATTGTTCCATTTTACTGTTACAATGTCTTTCCAGTGCTAATATATATAATATTATTCTACACTTCAGTATTTCTTCACTGTTATTAACACTGTCTAGGCATTCAAGATCTCGCATTCAGAAGATGAAATACTAAAACTGGATTCCCAAGCAGCCCGTGAAATAATCTACACTGAGCTCACTAGGAGTGAATTTGCTGAAGCACTGAGTATGCCAGCTGAATCCGAGTTTGTTCGCAAGGTAAATTTTCAGTACAGATTAATGCAAGTGAAATGACTTCCTTGTATCTACACACAAAAGACAAGGGGTGAGGGTGCTAAGCTCCATACATTTTTAACCTTGGCATTAGATTAAGATAAAGTGACAATCTTCAAGTGCAACCCTTACATCTGACACAGTTTACACCTTACTTTTCAATATAACTTTTACGAAGTTTACTATATTCTGGGATGTGATGCAATGTAGTTTGGCACAAGGTTCCTATAAAATAGTGAAGCATGACAGTGTTACATCCCAGAGAGAACCTTAAATCTCACAAACTTCATATTTCTTCAATAATAACAGACTGCCATATAGCTTCTTAATTATATGTTTTAAATTTCAGATGTTTTCACTGGTTGACAAGGACAGAAATGGATTTATATCCTTCAGGGAGTTTGTGGATATGCTCATTATATTTGCAAAAGGTAAAAGCTGTATATTTAATCATAATGCATCCATTTACATCATGTCCTAAGCAATCTGTTAGCATTGCTCTCTGAAGTCGTCCACATATCACCATCAATATATTTGTGAGAGTGTTACAAAAAGAGAACATTCAGATAACTTCAGATGTTGCAGCAAAGATGCAAAACATTCATAGTGTGACATGTTGACCCCTACCTCCCCAGCTGCACGTAGCGGTAACGTAGCGCTCGCATAATAGGCAAGTAATCACCCCGCAACTCTCCCCGCGGTGATGTCACGAGCGGAGCCGATGTTAGCCGAGTCCCCGCAACCTTGAAGCTATGCAAAGCGAGTGAACAGCGGTGACGTCACCAAGGGGTAATAGCGTCCTAGGCTATACGCCACGTCACACTAGCAACAGCGAACGGAATAAAAGCCGGCTGAGCAGCAAGCGAGAGTCAGTGTGTTATCAACGAGTTCTCAGATCGCAAGTTACGAGCTACAGCCGCGTGTGCGCNGAAATGGATTTATATCCTTCAGGGAGTTTGTGGATATGCTCATTATATTTGCAAAAGGTAAAAGCTGTATATTTAATCATAATGCATCCATTTACATCATGTCCTAAGCAATTTGTCAGCACTGCTCTCTGAAGTGGTCCACATATCACCATTAATATATTTGTGAGAGTGTCACAAAAAGAGAACATTCAGATAACTTCAGATGTTGCAGCAAAGATGCAAAACATTCATATTAAATAATGGCTGGTCATATTATTGACATATTAAACCAGTCAATCACTCAGTATTTTGGACACTGGCCAATTATTATGAATAATGCCCAATACTTCTGCAGGAATTACATCCTAATGCAGAGTTCAAGTCTAATCTGGCTAACTGGTTAGTGGGTTTAAAGTCAACTACTACAATAATGTTCATGGCTGTCAAGATATTACAAAGCTTAACCAGAGTTAAGAAGATTATGAACAGCATTAAAAAAGTATGTTTCATTCACATATAACATCTGCCACATGTGACACAATATATAAATAATGCTTTATAAATTTAAGGTGTCATCCTGATAGCAGCGCAGTACAGGAGGTTGGGCAAAGCTTTTAATAGCACACTCTTAACAGACATCATGATTATACTAGTTACTTTCTCAAGGCAATTGCTTTTATGTGAACATCATACAAGACATAATGTGTATGCTATGGATCAATATAACTTATCCAAGGCACTTTTTGGCAGGTGAATGATGTCTGAAACTGTATTCAGGTCACTAAGAAAGGTGGATCTTAAAATGAATTATAATTAATCATACACATGATAGTACATGTATAACAGATGTGCTGTATACAAAGTTTTAACAGAATTTTCCAGTGGATTTGAAATGATACTTGCACAAAGTTCTCATTTTGGACTTCAAGCCAAATATCATCTAATATGGTTAAAGTAAATTGAACATACATAAAGAAATACTAATGTAGAAATGCTTTATAGTAAATGTAATATCAATCTTTCAAAGGACTTAAAATAATTATGTAACAGTTCAGTCAGGCCTTAAAATTAATCAGCAGTAAGGTAAAGGTAAGCTATCCCCGTGCTTAACCAATTAAGCACTACACCATGGAGACGTTTGGGCGAGTGGATGTATAGATTCGTTTTCTTGACCTTGAGCCCCGGGTACCCACTGGACCGTAGACTGGGTCGGCCCCCAGAACCAGTCCAGATGACATGGAGAAGAGAGAATTCTTGATCCTACCGGGACTCGAACTCCAAACCATTGGTCGTCCAGCCTGTAGCCAGTTGCTATAGTGACTGCGCTGTTCAAATATCTTGTTCAAAATACGAAAACTGCAGAGTTGTACTAACAACAAAACTGATACAAGACAGCGAATTTGTGAATATACTAAAAAAAAAAACACTCATAAATTACACCTTCCTTTCTCTGAAATGGGCCTTTCAAAAATGCGAAGAAAAGCTTCTGCCCAAGTCTGTTATTAAGCAAATGCAAGTAACTATTTATTCACATTATGATACTTTTCTGACATGTACCACACAACATTGCTACATCTGCAAATCTGCACTCTAAATGATTGGCCAAAATATAACAGCAATACCAGAACAGAATTAGTTACAGAATTTTTAGGCATAATATTAAGCATAATTGTTACAAATAAGGTTTCAACCACGGGAATGAATACATCATTACTCCATGCCATTAGTTAAACAAATCTTAACATTTTATATCTCAAAGTCAATATGAAATATGTATTTCATATTTATAGGGACTGCTGATGACAAAGCTAAGCTGATGTTTGACATGTATGACATCAATGCCACTGGCCAGCTGACTCAAGCAGACTTCAAAAATATGATAATGTAAGTGCACTTGCATTTAATTCATTCAGTTTAAACTTCTCTGGTTTTCTCTCACTATAGCTCATACCTAAAATTTAACATTCAGTTAATTTGATACCTGACCCCTTTAAAAGCATGAACAAAACAGGAAAATTACACTGCCATAATGAACAGGTTGGCTAAGCAGTAACGTTTCTGATTATTAGTTAGAAGACATGTAGTGAAAATCTTAGCCATAACACAGTGTGAGGTCCCTGAGACATGTGGCAAAGCTTTTGAACTCTTTCCTTCCCTTCATTTACAGCTTTATATCACATATTACGTGTACTTATATTTATTTTTGTTTACAATTTCCCCTTTGCAAAGAATGTGTGAGGAAACCACAAAATTATGATTTCCTCAGCAGAACATAAGGAAATAAACATACATATATTCACACCTCAGTTCACTAGCTCATAACCTTTAGTTTCTTGAACACAAGAAGATTTATAAAAAACATGCAATGTGCTAAACAAACCAATTTTCCTGAAGGGACGGACAAGGATCTAAGCAATCCTACCATCTTGGTAACATTTAGCTGCATTTGATTTTGATTTGTGTCTCAAGTTTGAGCAAAGGAAACAAAGTGACAGAACATGGACAGCCTAGAATTTACACTTCACAAATATTCATGAAAATTTATGTGAATGGCTATTTGCCAATAAACATAGCGATGCTACAAACAGCATTATTCTTTTCAGTTCATGAGATTCTATGACTGACTTCACACAGTCAAACTGTATTGTTATTCAATATTAATATGTATTAATATAAGTTACATTTCCTGAAAACAATTATCATTTTGCCCATTTCTCAAATTTTCTTCAAGAACTGAAAAAGGGAGCAATATTTCTCAGGTGCATTCTTTGCAAACCTTCATCCATCAGTCTTCATGATCATTTATTTCGGATACAAATCTAATACTTCACCAGCTAATAAACAGTACAGGTACCACACCATAGAAAAAATATTTTTTCTCGTGTTGTATAAAATAACAATATTGAAATAAGCTTCAAATATATACCTACTTCTTTTAATGAAACTTCCTTTTGTCACATACAAATTCTTCTGTACAGCAACTAAGTTTTGACAGGTCAAATTTCAGCTTCACATAAACTGGGATTATAATAAGCTGATATGGACAAAAAATAAATTTTCCTATCAACTTTTAGTATAACCCTTCAATACCAAATTTCATTGAGATCCAATGAGCAATTCTGAGGATTAAATATATGAACTGATGGCATTCCCATCCCCATTATGCATTTACTTCATAATCTTCTTGGGGGGAGCAACAAAACTCACAGAAAATGTAATGGAATATATAAAATCTGTCTATATCCTTTAATATAACATACTGAACAGGTCCCTGATGGAGAATGTGAGAGCTGATGTTCAACAGCAAGACCTACAAACAGCAATCAACACCATCTTGTCAGCAGAAGGACTTGCAAATAAGGTACATCCAATATCTACTGCACTGGATGTGTAGGGATAAATATGAAGTCTACTGGGTGTAAAAAGACGTGCTAATCAATTTTTTCATCATCCTCATCAAAGTAGTGAGACACAGTGGCAGTACAATTGACTTACATTCAGGAGTTACCAGGTTCAAATCCCAGTCAGAATGACCAAATTTTCATGATTTTCTGCTCTCCCTCCAAACAAATGTTGTAATTATTTTCAAAATATACTATGACCCCTCAAGGTCGTGGGTTCAAGTCCCGATGAGGTCATTGGATTTTTTCAATTGTCCTAATCCTTCAGGCCGCACTAGGCCCTGGGGTTTACTCAGCCTCTAACAGAAATGAGTACCAGGAATTAATTAAATGATTTTCCTCGGGAGTGAAGCGCAGCCGGCGCGTAAGGCTGACAACCTTACCGCCATCTTTGAGCCGATTGTCAAGATAATGTTGGACCCTTAACGTCTCACAACCCTATGGGCCTTCACGGCCTGCAACAGGGATAGGTTTACTTTTTTTTACTTTTACTTCTACTATGACCCCTCAATATCTTCATATATCATTCACAATGAAGACTGCCACCAGGATATTTTCCAGGGAGAGGGATGGCAGGCAGTTTTTTTTTGGGGGGGGGCATCCAGTTACCAAAGGGGAAACTGCCAGAAAATGTTCTTACAAACTTACACTTAAGTAGATTCTAAAGGGTTCTGACGGCAGACGACATATAGAATTGTTGGGTTTTGGACTTTTTCCATCGTCCAGATTTCTAGGTAATAGAGAACACAACGTTCCTCTATTACCTAGAATTCTGAACGATGGAAAAAGTCCAAAAACCCCGTAATTCTTACACGTAAGCAGTTTAAGACTATGTATGATATGAGGTTCTCAGAGTGGTAGTTATGAACAGTGCTATCTTCTGGAATATAATGCTGTGCAGTCCACAGGAAGTGAACCAACGTTTTGGAGGAACGTATCACCTCCATCTTCAGGGTCGAAGAATAAACCTAGTAAGAAACTAATGTCAAGCATGTAGCAAGGACAGCATTAACGAACTGCTCTCAGTTCCTCTTTTAAAATTACCTAAAATAGATAAAGGAAACCTATCTATTCTATACAGTAATTAGTAATTGCTGCCTGTTATGAATTGTTTATATAAAATAAGTAAAGGTATCTCTGTAACAGGCCGTGGAGGCCCATAGGGTTTTGAGATGGTGAGGCTCTCACATTTTCTAGACAATCAGCTCACAGATTGCGGTAAGGTTCTCAGCCTTACGTGCTGGCCGCCCTTTACCATCAGGAATATTCCTGGTACTCATTTCTGTTAGAGGCTGAGTGGACCCCAGGGCCATAGTACGGCTGGAAGGATTAGGTAAACTGAAAAAATCCACCTCATTGGGATTCGATCCTGTGACCTTCCAGCTTGTAGCATAGTGCCTCAACCAACTGTACTACCGCTTGCCCCCTATGAATTGTTTATATATTGATTATTTACTGGCACAATATCCAATGCTGTTGTTAGGCAGCACTTTCCAATTGTATCTTATGAATTCACACAACAATTCTGACGAATTTTATATGAAAACAGTCTCTGCTCATTTCTTTGTACTTTTTCATCTATCTAAATCTTATGATTCTAGGATGTGATAACTGTAGAGGATTTTCAACGACTTCTCTCAAACAATGAGGGAAGGTTAGGCATTGACCAATTAAACCTCACAGGTATACCAGTGCCACAAGGGAAGGTTGCTGCATTGAACAGAAGAACCTTTATTGATCATGCACGTGTCACCGTGTCCAGCATATACAGGTAACCCACTCAACAGTGGCATTCAGATTCATAAATAAAGTCTTGTAAACAGACAAATTATCAACTCATAAATAAAATTTTGGGCAGGAACGAAAGTTCAGCATACAGTCTTGGGCATCATGGTCTCTGGAACGCACCTTATAAATGACTATTGTAACTGGAGTTTTGAGTTTTTGGTTCAGTTATAAATTATTTAAGGACTCTGCATCAAATGCAAAGGCTATTTAGCATGAAATTATATGAAAGGATGTTTATATAAGCTGAACTGGAAAGAATGGGGGAAAAATAGTAGCAACATACTTATTTCATGGTATTATCTTCAAATTTACTTTGATGGATTAAGACAGCTTATGAAATAATATACTGCCAAGAACAACATAACTGCTACTACTAATTACAACCACCACCACTTCTATGACCGATTTTGATGTGCTTCCCCCTCTCCTATTACTACTACTACTAACTTTATATTCACCTGACAAAAACCACATGCATGAGCATAAGGCAAATTAATCCACTTTTTGTCTTCTAAACAGAACTGTTTATTGTAGCGAAACATTGTTTCAGAGATGTAAGGGAACCGATGTCTGAAACTACAAGTAACACAGACGCAGTTCACAGTTCAGTGAGAAATGATCCCACTATAGATAATGATCAAGAGAACAACAGAAAGGAGGAACCCATTGAGAGCTCATTTTGGATATCTATAAAACGGAATATTGAGAATTATTCACGAGAGATCTTTTGGCTGGCACTTTACACCTTTGTGCTTCTAGCAATATTTGCAGAAAGAGCATACTGTAAGTATTAAACCTCATACAATAACACTCCAAATCTTGATTTCAAATTCCATCTTATAACCAAGCATTTCTCCTTTAATTATAAATTAAAATATATGTGATATTTTGAAATATTAACAGACTATTCTGTGGAGCGTGAACACTCAGGCCTGAGACAGATTGCTGGGTACGGTGTAACAGTAACTCGAGGAGCAGCTTCTGCCATGATGTTTACCTACTCATCCCTGCTTATCACCATGTGTCGCAACACCATCACAGTGCTTCGAGATACTTTCCTTCACATCTATATCCCATTTGATTTAGCAGTTTCATTCCACAAATACATTGCAATGTGGGCTCTTGTATTCACAGGTAAGTTCAACAGCTTAAAAACATTCAAATATGTGAGGCAAATTCTAATAAATCTGCAGACAACATTTACACAAGAAGTACTGGAAAAGAACTTACAATGCCTACCTTCCTTTAATTGGTTCCACTTATATAGAGTTCAGAAGGAATTATAAATTAATAATTAAGGAACTCTGTGATCTATTTATATGCATAATTTCCTATTACCTAAAATCTGATAGACGTAACATTAAAACTTTCCTAACCTGACATGTCTGTCATTTTTAACATATAAAAGAAAGATTAACATAAATCCAGCAGGTACTTTTATGAGACATATTCAAACAAATTTTTATATTCCTGTTTGAAAGAGTAAATTAGTTATTACAATGCCAAATACGTCAAATGCAAGTATACAACGTACACAGTACCTAAAAGATGAGATTCTAAATAAAAAATAAAAACTTTATCACAATATTTCTATCCCTAATATTAGTGTTATACCAATATCAGACATTTGGTGTTTGCTGTGCTGGCACACTGGTGACAAAATTGAAGTTCAATATGGTAGAAAAATCAGAATGTTCAACATCACTACTACCAAAACCTTCCTGTGAAGATGGTGCTGGGCCAAAACTCCCTCTGTTCCCATCCTCACAATCTATTTCACAAAGTCTATCTGAACATTATCCTCCTGGCCACCTTGAAGATGGAAGCAACAGAGATATGAAGATGTCAAAATGATTCATAATCCATTTAATTATGTTATAAATTTCAGTTACATCAATGGAATAACTGCGATTACTAATTTATACAGGACAGGCACATGTCATTTGAAGGGCCAGTTGCTTCTTTGAGTTCCTCAGTATAAGAGTTGACAATGAGCTTCCTCTCCCGTCAGATTAAATTGCAGATCAGTGTGAAGTCACTATTCGCAGGGGAAAATGAGAGTGCATGAATTTCAGGACAGCGCTCTTACTTTTAATTTTCATAAGGATTGTTTCTATTACAGTTATGCACTGTATTGGCCATGCATTCAATTTCTACAGCATTTCTACTCAGACTTCTGATGATCTAACTTGTCTGTTCCGGAATTTCTTTCATTCGTAAGTAAAATATAAATCATCTAACATGTAACACAGATCAGAGAAGCATGACTGATATATAGAGTTTAACAAAGATATTTCAAAGTGTCTTAAATTCTCCCAATATTTAAAGAGGAGGAGGAGGAGGAGGGGGCAGCAGCAGCACTAAATATAAGGAAGAGAACTAACACAACAGATAATTTAAATTCAAATTAATTTTCCCACAATAAATTACAAAATTACACAATGAGGCTTTGGGAAAAGATCTGTCCCTGGCTCATGGACAAGATTTACTGTAATGTGTTCTGAAACTAAATAATGATGACATTTTTTTTTTCATGAAGACTGGTACAGGCGTTCAAGCATTAAGGTTTTGCCTCAGAAATGTGAGGGGCTATAATGTTGATATTATTGATAGGATGGATTTAGGAATTAAGCCGTTGAGATGTGCTCAGATGCCTTGATATACATACCAAGTTTCATAAAGATTGGTTCAGCCATTCAAAAGTTGATTGGGGGGGGGCAGACACACAGCAAAGTGATGTCATAAGCTTATTTTTATTTTCAAAATATGGAAAGTATGCTTAAAAAATGAAAATTTGTAAGTAATAGAGAGACCAACATAAGGTTAAGTAATGATAAAACTTCGATTTTTTTCCTTTAAGGGAAAACCTGGAAAAAGAAAATGTACTTGTCCATTTGTCACATTTGAACCTTTCTTTCTCAAATCAGTAACAATATTTGTTCATTTTTAATATCGCTTCATCAATTGCATATGCTGTATAGTTCAAATGGGAGAATGATTATGAAAAATGCTGGGCAGGATGTGGAAGTAAGCTACTTTAAAGACAAGCATTTACCTGCACTTGGTAGTGGGGAGGGGGAAAATACCCATAAAGGGGGGCAGGAGAAGTTACTTATTTATTCTAAGAGATAAGATTAGTGGAAGTTTTCTGCTTCACTTGAATTGAACATCATACCTAAAACATGATGGTGTACTCTTTCCTCATCTCTTATGGTTAGACTAAATCACGGACGCATGCATGCAGCATGCATGAAAGAAACAAGAAATGCACATTAAATTGTGTTTAGAAGATGATAGAATGATAATTCTCTACTGACCACCACAAAGATAAGCAGGAAAATAATATAAAAACGGTTCTCTGGAAAACAGGGTATGATGACCTAGAACTTCCCAAAAATGAGGAATTTCCTGAACAGCTGAACAACCACCAACTGGTCCCTGAATCAGGAAGCTGATCAAACACATTTTTAGTTGGTTCAAAACATTCTTTACCCAATAAAAGACTGTTACTACAGTAGTTATGTGACTAGATTCTGAACATTCTTTGAACTTCAACTTAACTAGAATTGAGTAGAAACATGCAAATCAACAATTCTGTCTAATACTCAATTCCTTGAAGTTCAAAACAACTGCAATTATTTAAAAATACCTGGCTGGTGAAAGTATATACACAAAATTAATCTGAACATGACTTTTCCATTTTCAGGACTCATGAAATACCAAAGTTCCATTACTGGTGCTGGCAAACAATTACTGGAGTAACTGGTATACTTCTCACCCTCTTAACAGCACTGATGTTCATCTTTGCCTTGCCACTTGCACGCCGGCGGCTGTACAATGCATTTTGGTATACTCATTCTCTCTATCCAGTATTCTACCTCCTCATGATCTTACATGGAGCAGGGCGCTTAATACAGGTAATGTAGTCCCTTTCAGGACTGAAGTTTTCAGAGTGGTTATATTTCATACTGTGGAATTCTGGGTTATTAAATTATGAAATCTGTTGATGGGTAGCCACATTTTGGAGGAACACACTGTCTCAATTTACAAGAGAGGAGTGCATATGGAGACAACCAGGAACATCAGTAAACCAGCCAAATACAACTCAGTGCCATCATATTTCAAGTTTATGGGAATATACTCGCATTATATTTTATTGCATAACTACAAACTGAATAATCCCATCATTTTTAATGTGACCAGTTAAAAATGTTTATTATTCTTGGCACTGAATAGGTAACCATTTCATGATTATTCACTCTGCTGGTACGCAATAAAATGTAACATGTACATATCTATGAAATTGTAATAAGCCAGCACCATGTTGTGGTGGACATACAGACAATAATATTTAAGAGAATCTGGCTTTCTCCATCACCACTTCCACACCAAAGACGGTGTCAGTAAATTCTTCCAAAATGTCAGTACCCATCTATCAGACTAGAAGATGTCATAATCCACAACAAATGTTTCTTCCACTTTATATATATTTCATATAATTGTATATTTCTGACACGACTCTCTTTCAGAATCATAATAATGTATTCTATTAGTATTAGCACTGTTAGAGCATTAACATGTATATAATCAGTTGCTTCATACTAAGAAAAAGTAGTCACAATATGAACATCCAGTTTCTGGGAAAAATCTAATTAAGTAATAATCACTGTGAGAATCATCTTCAGCGTTTACCTTGGCTGCTAAAGAAATAAAGAGTGCAAAATGTTCTCACAAACCTTCTTACATGCTTTACAATAGTTTGAAAAGAATTCCCCCAGTAGCAAGCAGTGCATGTAGTATCTGGGATATGAAGACTGTAGGATGTAATTTATGACTGCATTCTTTACAAATGAGCAAAACTGAATTACATTTAGGGGCAGTTCTTGGGAAAAATATATTCAGGCTTTAACTGTCAGGAAACAGGCATCGATTGGCGCGAAAGAAGACTGATTAGCAAATTGTACATGGATCAGAAAGTTAGAGTATGACTGGACAGAGGGGAGACAAGAAATGTGAAGATTGGAAGAGGAGTTCGACAACGATGCTGTTTATCACCAATTCTATTCAACTTGTACAGCGAATGCCTTACCAAGGAAGCTCTGGATGGGCTCGGAGACTTCAAATTAGGAGGGCAAATTATTCAAACTGTGAAATATGCAGATGACCTTGTGTTAATGGCTAAGGAAGAAACTGTGCTACAGGGCATGATTGATAGACTAATTGAAATTGGAAGGTGCTATGGCATGGAAATGAATGTGGAGAAAACAAAAGTAATGAAAATTTCGAGACAACCAAC